AAGATATGAATTTCTTGTTCTAAATTAATTGTTAATAAAATTCAAATTACGTCTTTGTTTTTGGAAAGCTATATTTTTATTTATTTACAAATTAAATTAATAATATAGCTTTAATAATTAATTAAAAATATAGCTTTCCAAAAACAAAAACGTAATTTGGATTTTATTAACAATAAATTTAGAACAAGAAATTCATATCTTGTGCCGAAATGCATTTGTTAAAGTCAAACGTTTGGGCTCCAAGATGGCGGACGAGTCAGCTCCCCTTTATCTAGTAGCTCTAGGAACAGGGAATAGAATTTCTGACGCGCTGGATTGGTTGGAAGAAAATTTCCGACGAATCCAACGCGTCAAAATTTCTATTCCCTATTCCTATTGCCTGGCAGGCTGGCATTGTGTGATAGGCTTGACCCTCGGTGGAAACGTAGTCTCCGATTTTACCCACAGAGCTCATCCCCAAAAAACAAAATCCCTACTGAAAACGAAGAAAGCCCCAAGTTTGGGGGGGAAACAAAATCTCCAGACTCGACCACCCTGTCGCGCCACGAAGCTGACACGTCACTGACCGCGGACCAATCGCGCGCGGCCGAAATTGCGCCAATGGCCGATCGCCGACGGGGCGCACGTGCGGCGCGGGTTCGCGCGCGGGCAACAACTCGACGGCGCGCGGCGGCTCCGACCGAGACCCCGGTCCGGTCCGTCGGTCAGTCGAAATGAAGATGGCCGCCGAGGTGAGGTGGCTCCTCGTTTTTCTCGTGTCGTGCGGCGTGTCGTCGTGCCGCGGCGAGGCGCCGCATCGGAAATTCGAGTACAAGTACTCGTTCAAGCCACCGTACCTCGCGCAGAAGGACGGTAGCGTACCGTTCTGGGAGTACGGCGGAAGTGAGTACCCGGGTCCCCCCCCGTAAGGGATGGACGTATCTAACCTAAACCGCGACACCTGTCGCGCGCCGACATCGCGCGCCTCCGCGGCCGCCTTCCGTATGTTACCCCGGCGACGCCGATCTCGTTGACGCGGCGGGAGAGCCCGCGGTTTCCTCGCGTCCCACGGCGTGCACCGTCCCGGTCTCCGTCCCGGCGACGCCGCCACGTAATCTCCCACAGCGCCGCACCGTCTCCAGCGCGATCAAAACACTGATGACGTGTGTACACGTTTCTCGCACGCTACACGCTGCTGGAGCAACGTAACGAACGCCGACCGGATTACCGCGTGCGAAACCGACAATCTTGTAACCGATGCGTTATAATTGGAGGTTCCCGAGAATTGCCGTTAATGTCTAGTGATTATTTTTGTAATAATAGTTTAGGACGCGATAATGGACATTGTAGAGTGAGAGAAACATATTTATTTGAGGAAAATAATAGAGAAGCGTGATTGGAGTATGGAAAAAGATTCTCTTTCGTATGAAAGTATCTGGCGAAGATACTTTCCAAAGAAATATTCAGTAGCAATGCTGTTTTATGTTGACTTTAATTAAACATATGTTTTACTTGTCTCTTGCCGAAGTAACAGTCTTAATATTCCCTCCCGTATGATTTCAAATATATTTGATTAGAGTATCGATGTAATTTATGCACCTTCTTTTAAAAACATGCATTTACGTTTTAAATTGCAGATGCCATTGCTAGTTCAGAAAATGTTAGAGTAGCACCGTCGCTTAGAAGTCAAAAAGGTTTGTACAAATATTACACATATGTTGGTACTGAAAACTTGTCTCAGGAGTAAATTTGAAAATAATTTTTGCAAGGAAGTTTGGAGCGTGTAAACTATTGAATTTTCATGTTGCATTGTTAAGTTAATCTTACGAGAGTTGTGCGAAAATATCGTTTTAGGTGCAATATGGGTGAAACAGCCAACGAGTTTCGACTGGTGGGAGGTAGAATTAGTATTCCGAATAAGCGGACGTGGAAGGATAGGGGCGGATGGTTTGGCATTCTGGTACACGAACAGCAAAGGATCCTACAACGGCACGGTTTTCGGCAGCTCGGATCTTTGGACGGGCCTGGGAGTCATGTTCGACTCGTTCGATAACGACAATAAGCACAATAATCCGTACATCATGGCGGTTGTCAATGACGGCACAAAGGTCTTCGATCATGTGAAGTAAATCACGTTGCTTAACAATTCGCGTGTGACTTGCGCGTTTGAATCAGTATATAATTCGTTTGTTTTCCCTCGTTCTGAAATAGTGACGGCTCTACGCAGCAATTGGCGGGCTGTTTGCGTGACTTCCGCAACAAACCTTTTGCCACGCGAGCGCGGATAGAGTATTACATGAATACCTTAACCGTGAGTATACTGGGGAATTGTCTAGTAGCCTTTATCTCGACATCTCTATTGATTGGCCTGTCCCGTTCAAGCTGCTGTTCCATAACGGTATGACGAACAACGAGCAAGATTACGATATCTGCTTCCGAGTTGACAACGTTGTGTTACCGAAACATGGATATTTTGGAATTTCCGCTGCTACCGGTATGCACGTAAATGTTATACATTGGTGTGCATCACAGGCATAATTTTTACCGTGCGTTTTTATGCATTCCTGACTACTCAGGTGGCCTGGCTGATGACCATGACATCTTATATTTCCTTACTACCTCTCTGTATCCTCCCGGACAGCTACCAGTGGATGGGAGTAAAGTTCCTACAGAGGAACAAGCCAAACTACAGCAGGAATACTTAGACTACCAAAAGAAGCTCGATGAACAAAAAGAGGAATATCGCAAGTAAGAAAGATGCAATGCGTCTTCACAGTACTTTTTCGATACAAGCCTCAATATCGGTACGTTGTTCTGACAGGGAGCATCCAGAGCTTCAGCAGAAAGAATTTGAAGAATACTATGAATCGGAGAATCAAAGGGAATTACGACAGATATTTACTGGGCAAAGTCAGATGTTTGAGGGATTGCGTGAACTTCACAAAAAATTAGATGAGGTTATTGGAAGACAAGAGAGAACCTTGGGTTTAATATCTCAGATCGGACAAGGAGGTAAATTGCTCGTTACGGTATTATCATTTACATCGAAGCGACACTATATATCTTTCAATTCAATCTGAATGCACGATTAGGTGTACAAGTTGCGGGTCAGCCAGGGCAACAGCCGGTGCTGATCGACACTATACGTCGGCAAGAAGTCGACGCTGTGCTGAGTAATCAAAATATCATATTAAATATGGCCAGGGAAATTAAATCCTTCGTTGGAGATGTTCATTCCAAGACGGAATCAATTCTTAACAATCAAGCGCGCGCTCCAACTGCACAGGTTTATATCATTTCGTGTGCGATCTGTAAGAGCGAGAGTCAGTTTTCGCAAAACTTTTCTGACATCGATAAATAAAATCTTGTAGGTGCAGCCGATGGGTTACGATTATCAGTCGTTTATGACGGAGATGCGAGATGGACTTAACACGTTAAAGAAGGATATGAAGATCACAGGAAACACAGATTGTCCTAATTGTTTAACAACTGGCATATTCTTGCTATTCATCGTGGTGCAGATGCTAATACTATTGGTGTACAGTTTTTATCGGTAATTATACGCAGTAGTCGGTAATCGTTCACGCACAACAAGAAAGATACGTAATGCCAAGTTTGTTTTTTCTACTCTACAGAGACAATAAGGAGGCACAGATGAAGAAACTCTACTGATGTACGTCGCTTACATCGACGAATTTATACAATGCATTCTCGTTTGTATTCTAATTCGATATTTTTATTACTCGTTATTCGTATCCGCGAGGTATACGTGTCTCTCGACATTTGTATAATAAATCCTTGGTCTGATAGATCGACGTGAAAGCATCCGTCGGATATCGCCTCACGATGACACAAGGACATCTCTCAGCGAAATAACTCGCTCATTTTAAATAATGTTTTAAATATCCAAATCCGGCAGCCATCTCCATCACGGTACATTGTGTATTACGTTGCGCAATCTATGTTACAGTTGTCGTATATTGACAAAACGTGAGCGTGAGGTTTAGACGATGATTTAAGTTAAAGTTTACTCACGGATTAGTTGACCTGGAATTGGGAGTTATTAAAGATGTCTCACGATCTTTTTTCATGTATCGTTATATGTATAATATATAGTTTTTTACTCGTCAGTCGTCGCAAACATATTTATCGTTACGCACACGTTTTTTTTGTGAATTTTTCCATTTACGATCGTTGTATTAGTGATAATTGCAACGGCAATGCGGCTTTCCGTGTAAATTTTTGTATGATATTTTGTATCACGCATTTAGTACATGAATATACAATTACTTTATTCGTAAGAATTGTCACTCTTTCGTCACGCATCGAGGTCGTCGGCATTCCGCTGTGAACTGCGGCGTTGGCGCACGAAGAGATAATTATCACATGATGCGTCTTACAACCGTTATGTAATAGTGACGATTTTCAATGTCACTCAGCATTCCATTGGAGACTACTGTAGTTCGGAGTAACGTGCGTTTGTGTACTACAGCCTATCCTGTTGTGTAAACATGATTGTGTGCAGTGAGATAGCGTTTTTTGGAACACGATAAAAGACTCCCAGTAGAATGTGTGTACGTGTGTAAAGTGCATGTAGAGCTGCGATAGCGAACGGGAGCGAGGTGGAAAGATTTCGAAGTTCATTATTTCCCCGCATCATTGCATTTGTAAAAGTTTATTGAATATTGTAGTCATACGAGAAAATATATCTGACAAAAAAATACAAAGAGGGTGGAAACCGAGAGAAACACGGATTAGTTAATGTTACGTGAATTTTTCTGCTCTTATACAGATTCAATCCGATCTTATGCCACAATTCTTTATTTAAATGCTCTTTGATTCATTATAATGCAACGTTCCGTAGTGATTTAAAAACTACGAGGATCATATTTTGCGCGGATCTCTCGTGGCGACGCATGCGCAATTATTCTGTCGTCGATTTTAAATGCGTATTACTATCGATACATCTCGAAATACATGGCTGTCATGGTCCAGTTTTACATGATCCTCGAACACGATACGTGGACATTGAAAACATGGACATGAACTACGTAGTCAATGTCCACGTTTGGGCTAACAATAAGCGGATAACGCAGATGTACACGTTTTGGTTGTGTTCCGTACTGTGTGCATGAATCGATTAAAACAGTTATTAATTTATCGTTATGTGAGCGAACAGACCAAATTGTAGAAGTTCTCCACAACCCCCGCCGAATTCTTCTCGGCGGTCCTCGTTTCTTTGCAATAATTGTGTTTTTATATTCTTGTCATTAATTTTTTTTAAACATTAATATGCATACAATAATTACCTTATAAAATTAAAAATATAATATCTGTACAATACAATATTTCTCTCGATATTGCATATGAAATATTTGGTATGCATACAATAACATGAAATATAAAATATATACGTCTTGCATGTTTGGGATAAAAAATATCCCGACTGTATTTATTAAAGTAAATCAAATCTACAACAATTTTAAAAAACTTTCGTCTTATTATATGCATCCGATTGCATATTCAATATTACATTTTTCGAATTTCTACAACTAATGTGTAAAGTTTAAAAAAATACAAAAAATTGCAATGTAACGTTTCTAATAATTACTTTAGTGTAATTAATACATTTTATTAAAAATATATTAACTCGTAGTTTTTTCCAAGTATATTTTATAATAAATATGTTTTATTAAAAGTATTTTATTAAAAATAATTGCAAATATAATTCTATTTAATGGTAATATGTTGTAGTTATAATTTTATTTATCTTTTTAATTATCGAGTTATATTCTCCTATCCCTGCCTACCTGAATCCCTACCTACCCGTATTCCGCTAGTTCTATTCATTTTCCTATCCGCGTTTCAACTTTTTGTTAATAAACTTACAAGTCCTTTAAAATCGCGACGCGATTTATAAGAGATCCAATTTGGGATTATACGCGCGCAACTAGGATTTAATAGGGGTCTTTTTAATCTCGTACATATACGAGAATATGTAAAGAAGATAAGAATATAACCCACCCGAATTTTGACAAGTAAGAAGAAATCAACTTATTTCGTACATTAGCTTATGTACATACTCCATCGTTGGGCCAGATTGGACATACCTTTCGTTGCTCCTGGCCATACAGTCTGGTCATTTTGACCAGAGATCAGGACGAAAGAAAACTCCTTCCATAGTCGGTTTATTCTCGTCACCGACAGATATTTCGTACGGTTCGAACTGTATGCGAGCATCGATCGTATCGACATGCACGGCCACGAGAAGTTAATTAAAGAAGAAAATTAATTTAAAAATTGTGCCGTATAAAACTAATCAAATCGATTTTTACTTCCGTTATTTATTCGAGAATAGATAATGACTCTCTTCGTGACTCAATGTTTAAATTCAAAATTCAAGTATACATATACATATGTATATAGAAAAAACAATTTACTTCGCGTTATATTTATTTCATTCCGCGACAAATTAAAATTTATAATTCGAATGAAATTAAACAATTAATAATTTCTTGAAAAATTTTTGAAACACTGATCGCGAAGACCGACCGCGAAAATATGAAGATGCGTGCAACTACGCATGTATTCATGCAAGATACGCATACAAAATAAATTACGTGAGACCCAGAGAAAAGAGACTATCCGTACGATAAATAGACCGACAATTAAATATTTCAGTTAATTAATAATCTCAAATAATGTATGAAAATAATATTAAGTTTCAGCATTCTCGATAAAATATTAGGATCTCACGTCATATTATTTTATACATAAATTTGTTAATAGAAAATGGATAGACTATACAAGAGATTAGTTCGACGAATACTTCAATAATATTCGTCATATTTTCCATGAAAATATGTGATGTGCTGCAACGGGGCATCCGACCCTCCACAGCGAAAATCGCGATCACTCTTTCGGTAGATGAAATATATTTAAATAACTACGAAATTATGTTGTAAAATCTATCCACTTTAGGCAACGGATCTACGAGATATACTAATCTACGATCTACAATACAATCTACGAAATGTAGATTCGTTGCCTCAATGATCAAAAAGTTTCTGACTTACCACTCGACGCGCAGCAGCGGAGTGAGCTACGCTGATTCTGTAACAAATATAGAATTCGTTAAAGCAGTGTTCAATGTAAAAACTAATATTACAAAATATAAGTAAAACGACTAAGAAATAAACTGAAAGAAAGATTACTTAATTCCCAGAAAACATTTGGCGCGCAAACATCTGGCACTATGACGACGCACTTGGATAGAATTTTGCTTGCGTCGTTGAGCCATTTTTGTACGTGAGTTGACAGATATTTGCGCGCAAAATTATACATGAGCTAGCCACTTGCGTGCAAAAGCGCAGACTAAACATATCTTACGGACAAAACTCAGGCAAATCTCATACAAATTTGCACGCATATATAAGACAAGCAAAATTTGCGCGCAAGAATTGTTATCTGGGTCTTACACAAAATGAAAAATAACATTTACCGTAAAGTTGCTCCGCCGGTGCCTGCGATGCCTTTCCCGGGCCTCCTCATCCACTCATTGTCAGGTCTCCTCCGGCACACTCGCGAAAACACAAAAATCGTTCGCACGATTTGACACGAAACGGCACTCCCGAACGTGACGATAATGAAAACTGTATACGTAATTCCCTTATCGCATTTTCTCTTCAAATTACGCGTGACACTCGTCTCGATAAATCACCGTAGAAATCACCGATATGATCACGGATCGCGACAATTCCTCAAACGCGATGGATGTTAATAAAACTCACGTTAATAATCACTCACAAAACACGCACACAATAAACAAGATGTTAATAACTCACGTACGCGACGATCGCGTTGCGTAGATGATCGAGATTCTCGTAGACAATAATCGCGTTACGAGGAGCGATGCGAAAACACGCGGAACACCCGCCTCGCTCGACTGACTCGCGCCAACTAATTCGGTATAATAGACCATAGACATAGACCGTTTTTGACCGAGGTGTTCGCCGCGCACGTCATTTCGTGGAATGTAAACAAAAAACGCTCGGCGGCCGAATTGTTTACGCTGCTCGATCAATGCCGCTACGTCATTTCTCGGAACCGGGGCTCGGCGACCGACTTGTTTACCAAAGTCACGTCGTTGTACGCAGGGTTATTCGCGTGGCGACAATTGAACGAGTCTGTGTTAATCATAGAGCTATTACAGATAGAGGGAGGGAGTCAACGAAGGACGCGATATAGCCGTAGAAAGAGAACGCTGCAATAGAGGCCGGTGTGTCATTGTCTCATAGCGCATGCGTATTAGGTACTGCGTGCGCCTAACTGCACTAGTTCAGAGTGTATCTTTCTCTTTCCACATGCTTTTATAAGAAAGAAAGAGACACACTCTGCCTACAAGCGCACACGTTACGCGCATGCGCGTGACTGTTAGACAGTGACACACCGGCCTCTATTGCAACGTTCTCTTTTTATCCCACTATCGCATGCGCTTACACGTCGTCCCATACCTACTTCCCTCTATCTGTAATAGCTCTATGGTGTTAATGCCCGCGCCGTTCCGCATATCGTATTATTCTTTCTCGATACGCGTTCGCGACAAGTACGGGGAGAAATCGCGATCGCTCTCTGCGAAGAATTATACTGTATCGATCGCTTGCCAAGAAATAATCTCTCCAACAATTATATGTACATACGTATAATAGTGCGCGTATAACATAAAGTTTTCATTTTCGTCGTGTACGGGAGTGCCGTTTAGTGCCAAATCGCGCGAACAATTTTCGTGTTTTGGCGAGTGTGCCGGAGGAGACCTGACAGTAAAGCCTCGTCTACATAGAAGTCATAAAGTCGTAGTTGTAAGAATAGTCGACTATGATTGGTCAATTCCAGTCAATTCTTATGTGTCTGACTGAATTGACCAATCGCAGTCGACTATTTTTACGACTACGACTTTACGACTTCTATGTAGACGAGGCTTTACTGTCAGGTCTCAATGGTCGTAGTCGTAGTCGCTCGATAAGTCCCAGTCTACAATAGATGATTTAAGCCCTATGCTTTAAGAAATTGACCAATCACGGTCAAGTACGAGTAGAATACGCGATTGTGATTAGTCAATTTCTTAAGGCTTAGGGCTTAAATCTCTATTGTAGACTGGGACTAAGAATTGACCAATCGCAGTCGATTATTCTTACGACTACGACCATGTATTGTAGACAGAACCGAGAATCATTGTAGCGGAGGCTTAAGTGGAGGAAGAGGCCCGGGAAAGGCATCAGGCAGTTTTACATGGTAAGAGTTAGGTATTATTGTACGCGTATTGCATGTTTAAACAAATAAAAGATCAAAATGTAAAAACAATTATTGCAAAATAAAGAAGACCGCCGAGAAAGATTCGGCGGGGGTGGTGGAGAACTTCTACAATTTGGTTTGTTCGCTCACATAAAGAAAAATCAATAACTCAGTTTTTATCGGCATTTCATGCATATAGCACGGAACACAACCAAAACGTGCGCATCTGCGCTATCCGCTTAGTCCAAACGTGGACATTGGCTACGTAGTTCATGTCCACGTTTTCAATGTCTACAGACGGCGTATCGTGTTCGAGAATCACGTAAAACCGGGTCGTGACAGCTCTCAGGCTTCTCTTTGGTTTGTGTCAAACGCGACTCACGTTTCTTCCGATAGGTGTAGCGATTACGCGCGTGGTTCTTTCGGCCGTTCGCTCTACGGTAAGATTGCGGTGTGTTTGACGATTCAACGTAATCGAAGAAATCCGTTTATTATAACAAAGATATATCGAATTTTCCGGATGATTATCGTGTAATTTGCGACTGATCTCTTTGGGCGACGCTATATTTTTGCGATATCGTGAGTCGATCTCTCCGTTTCGCCGAGCATATATATGCACCGTTCGTATTTGATATTTCGGATAAATAATTTTACTTTTGTTCCATTCGTAAAGATTAACTGTAATTTCTATTACTGATAATTGGATAAATTGCGCCCGTTTCTTTCCTCGTGCGCATTTTTATTCCGCACGTGAGACGTGAAAAAGGCATAACCTGATATAACCTCTAAATCACAAGCATCGGTATGTGTTCGCGTCGTGTAACCGGAAGACTGAGTTGAAGATGCGTTAACTCCGCGCCAGAAGCGGAAAGCTCTAAAAAAAAGAAACGCGTTATGTGTACAAGCGTGAAATCACTTTACTTAGTTTCTAGACTTGTAATTGCCTGTAGAGGCTTGTTTCTTTGGTAACAAAAGCTAAGTAAATCCTTGTCTACGTAGATGGACACAAAAGCCCAGACACCGGAGAAAAAGGCTGCAGCTGCACCAGCTGCAGCCAAGGAGGATGCGAAGAGCAAGGCAAAGGTTGCGAAGGGAAAGCCCGCGAGAGGAAAGCCGAGGAATTATGACTTGGGGAACGGCGTCTATAGGTTCAGTCGTACCCGCATGTACCACAAAAAGGCTATCTATAAATTCCTTGGGAAGAAAACCCCGAAAAAGGTGAGCACTTATTAATTTTAAGGTGTATCTAATGTACGTGAGAAAATTAATATTTTTCAGAGCTTTAATATACTGTAATCAATTAATAACAAAATTATCATGAAGAATTGATTACGGCTATTTTATTGCATTTTCAAATAGTGAAGTATAAATTCGACTCAATATGTTATCACAGGTCAAACCGAAGAAGCCCTTGACTATCGAAAAGCAGATCGGTGGTGACAAGAACGGAGAGAAGCGTATCGTGCTTTTGAAAAAGAGACGCGCAAACTATCCTACCGCCGATCGCGTTACCGTGCACCATGCTAAGAAATGTTTCCACGAACATCGTCGTTATCTGAGACCTTCTCTAAGACCAGGAGCAGTCTGCATCCTGTTGGCTGGTCCGCATAAGGGAAAGAGAGTGGTCTTTCTGAAACAACTGAAGAGTGGCTTGCTTTTGATTACTGGTATGTTTATTACTGCCTTCTACGTCTTATAATTGATACTTCATTAACGTATTAATACGGGACTTGATTGTAATTTATAATTGTTAATAATTATAAATTATTGTAGGACCATTCCTGATCAATTCGTGTCCTTTGCGAAGAGTCAGTCAAAATTATATAATTGCCACTTCGACAAGATTGAATGTCTCAGACATCAAATTGCCTGGACACATTAATGATGACTACTTCAAGAGGAAACGCGATAAGCGCGCCAAGAAAGAGGAAGGTGATATCTTCAGCAAAAAGAAGGAAGAATACAAACCGAGTGATCAGAGAAAGGCTGATCAGAAAGTAGTTGACAAAATGGTAATCGATGCTATTAAGAAACATCCAGATAAGAAACTGCTGTTCACGTACCTGTCGGCAATGTTTGGACTACGAAGCAGTCAGTATCCACACAGAATGAAGTTCTAATTCTATCTGTCGTGCGTATATATCGAACTTTTCGAAGAAATAAATATGAAACTATAAAACGTATTATCTATTTCTTGTATGAAATATATATCTGCAGGATGTCAGAGATGGTAATAACTGTAGTTTCCCTCATAGGCAGATAAAGCACCTTAAACTAGATAAAACATTTCTCTAACATTTTATGGTTTTCATATTAACTAATGAAGAATAATTAATTATTTAGCAGGTATTTATCAAGAAACATAAGTATTGACTTTGTTGATTATTTAAATTTTAAGTTCGAAATTACTAGAATCATAGTTTTTGCCATTTTTTTAAATTTTAGCTAATGCAATTTTATTAATTATATTCTCTTGGCTAAACTTTGTCGATTTTCGCAAGTCAAAATTATAAATTCTTAAAATCGCGATTCCTGAAAATTTGAAAAATTCTTGAAATTTTAGATACTGCAACCTGCTTACCTTCCTTCTTCCTACCTTTTAAGGAAAATTAGGCAAACTCTATTTTTTATTTTTGTGGTCGAAAGTCCCGTATTTTCAGAATCACAATTCTACGAAATGTCGGAAAATTTTTGCAATTTTAAATACTGCGATCTTATTGATTATGTTTTCTTGCTATTTTACTAATTTTCGAGATTTGTACTTTCACGATTTGAATTCTTGAAATTGCAATTCTTGGGAATTTCGGAAGTTTTAGAATTTTAAAAAGTATTTTACAACCTAACTTTCTCAGCCATTTATATTCTGTTAATACTTTGTCAATATTTGAAAGTTTTGGTTTTCACAATTCGAAAACCGAACTTCTGGAAATGTAAGAAATTCTTCTTTGTTTCAATTTTAGAAATTGGAAAAAATTTGTAAAATTTTGTTCACTTATCGGTTATATTTTTTTTATATTTTATCAATTTTCGAAGGTTTAGATTGCTTTCTGAAATTTTGAAGTAAATTTTGGAACTCTAAAAATTTCAACATTTAGAATTTGCATTTATTAAGTGATAGATGTGAAAGATGTGATGCCAAAAGAGTATTTGTTTCGTAAAAAAATATATTTTATTATATTTTTATAAATTACAAAACATTTGATAGTAATACATAATTTGATAGTAATACATAAATTCATAGATTACAAATACATATGTAATATGTATATAATTATCGCCATATAAATATGAAATTATCGTTACAAAAATTAAACATAATATATACATTAACCCTTTGCACTCCTATGTCGAGTGTGACTCGACATCAGTTTTTATCTCAGGAGCTCCTTTGTCGTGTCTCACTCGACATTTTTTCAAGTCCAAACCAATAGATGAAAATAAATGAAATATAATTCGGAGTGCAAAGGGTTAAATTATAATTATGTTGAATTATGATCTATCAAATAACTTTTAGTTTTGTTTGTGTATTATTATCTAATTTATCAAAACACATCTTCACGTATTTAAAAGCAATGAATACAAACATTTAATTGAATTAGATCGAATCCAAAAATAGCTCTAAATTAAGTAATACGTTATTAATAAAGATAATATCGCGGATAATATGCAATTAAAATAATAACTAAGAAATAAGTCTAGATTTAAGGTGGCTCCTGCACGAAGGAGCGGTTAGTACGACGAGTACTTGGGTGAGGCCCAATTGATTTTTATAAATTCATATGACTTAAAAAAACATTAGTTAATACATTATTGATCAAATGCATTGATATGCTAGGTTATGCATATATGCACATTTAAAAACACAATTAAAAATATGCGATATTGTCAAATCTCAAAGAGCTGTTAAATTTCCTCAAAACATTGTATCTTTTAACTTTACTAATAAGTATTTGCTTGCTGAGGTCGGCGACCTCACATACTTAACAGCACATTTGAATTCTTGTAACATTTATTATGTTCATCTCGTTTTTTTGCTAAGATCTACTTTTTCTATAAAATAATATTAATCCTCAAAGTGCTTCTGCGAGCAATCGACCCATAACTCATATCCCAGTGAACACAAAGTAATAGTTGCATAATATCAATATTATAATTTCCTACTTAATGTAAATGTAGTATAACATGGGTGTTAAATTACATATATCTTGTTGAGTAAGAAATTATAATATTAATGTTATATAACTGTTACTAGGTGTTTACTGGAATGTTAAAAAATACAACTTTAATATTTTTTCTTTATTTTATTTCATCGACGACTGGGTCTACAACTTCGCGTACTGATAGATAAAATTTACAATTACAATATACTTAAATTTCAATTTTTTCTATTTTTGGTCAGTTTATGCAGGAGCGACCTTAACACAACGTAAGAAATTCGACACGTTTATCTTTCTTTTATTTCGCTTTTCCACTGTCGACCTTATTTCGTGCTCTTACGCAAATGCCCTTATTTTCTGCTTCCTTACATTTCTCGACGAAGAGACTTGCATTCAAAACGCGCCATTGAATAAATGTCCACGGTATCGCTTTTGCTGTCGCAGACTTGGAGTGACTTTTTCGTAACCTATATATCAATTAAAAAAAGTACGTGACCAGAATTTTCTCGATGTTCGGGAAAGCTCCATTGTGTGTACGTCACGGCAATATACATTGGCAAAAAGAACGCGGCAGAAGTCGCCGTTGTTTTTTTTTTTCGTTTGGCGCAATGTCGTCCCCGCTACTCGGAGCGTCCATATCTGTAACGTTTCATCCTGATAAAATGTTACAACCCCCTCGGTCGCGGCGGGACCAATGGGATCGGCGATCCGATGGCGCAGAATCCGCGAAATCCATCCCCCGGTTACCGCGGCTAATCCCGATTGGCGAAGCCCGATCCAATCGGCTCTCATCCGTTATTGATCCCGACGGAGGAATTGTTGAATTGTTTTTTTATTGAACCGAGTTGTAAAGTGCTTTACGACCGGCGTAAAACGGCCGGCCGCGTTATACGATAGCCGCGGTGAATTATTAAAATTGCCCGGGACGCCTCGATGCGTTCGCGAATTAATGGACGTGATTCTTCGAGGTGATCGACTAAGATCCACTCGAATTATCTTGTCTTTGAATATTATTATTTCTACTCAGAGTTGCTGCTTGTAAAAATTCTATCGTCGATGAATGTCTGTAATGTTACATTTCGCTCTTTCACGACGATCCAAGTCGGGCGATTAAATTATTTGATCTTCGTAATTGCTCGCGTAAAAATCGCTCTTTCGAAAAGTATCCGATTGTAAAATATAGGAACTTGTGGGAGCTTTGAAAAGATGATATCATTTCTCAAGTTCAATACACGTTATTTTTTGAAATATCGTTATACAATATGTTTTGATAATATTCCGATAGAATGAAAAATCGTTCGAAAAATGGACTTCAGACAATCTATAACTCGCGTCAGAATTCTATATATAATTTTCTATATCATGTATTTTAATACGTACGTGTGCATTTTAACATCTAGATGCTTTTTATATGCGTATTAAAATTATTAGGATATATTAAAATCACTTTCGACTACCTAAACTTCATGTCAAAATTCAGGATGGTGTTCCTCCACATTTTATGTCTGATAAAAATATTTGACGGATTAAGGCCCGGTTTCACCAAACGTTGCTTAACTTTAATCTTAGTTTAATTCATGTTTGTCTCTTTCTAGAGTAACAGTTGGAAAGAGACAAAGAACGAATTGAGCTAAGCTTAAAGTTTAACGACGTTGATGAAACTGGGCTCAAAATACGCATATATATTTTGTAAAGTTACTTTATAATATTAGTCCCTGAATGCTGACACGAATTTTACGTCGACAAAAGAAAGTTGGTAAAAGAAAAAGAAAATAATAATTTTGTTGCGTACTGAATACAAGACAGTATAACTTCTTTCTGAGAGGGGCGAGTTGTGTTTGCGTACGAAAATGGCTGCCATTGTAACGAAATGGATTGACGAGACGAGAATAGAGCGTGCGGAAAGCCGGGTTTCTCCCTTGGAATAACAGTTTATGGAAAAATTAGCGGCACTTTACTATGCAAACACACATCGAGTCCGTCGCGTGAAACTAATAGCAGGAGGTTCCCTACGGTGTCGGTGCACAAAAAAATCTGTATAAACAGTCCCCCAGCTAATATAAAAAGAAACGATTTCTCTTTAACAGCTGCGAAACGCAGATGTACATTCACGCGCTTGGACAAACACTTTGTCATTTCGAATTAAATTTTCATTTAAAAATTGTACCTTTTTTTATACTTTTGGATAAGTAACACCTTGGGAAAGTTTTACGTCAATTGACGAAAAACAGATTTGGTAGCAAAGCGAAATAAGATAAAGATTCAAGCATAAGGAAGGTACGCGCACGTTTCTCGTCCTTAATACAATATAACGACTGATCTTTTTCGCAAGGTCACATCTCGATTCTTTTGCAATTTCCGGTTTATCCGCTTAAACATTCATTCTGGGTCAGAATGAGTGTTTAAGCAGAGCATCTAATAACGTAATTAAAAAGATGCAGCTTAATAGAAGCTGCATCTGTTAATATATAACGCTCTCTAACGTATACTTTCCCGGGGAAAAAAGCTATATATCCAATTTTATCTAATTGTATCAAATAATGTCAGATATGATAAAATGTAATCAGGTTGTATCCAATTTTTAATGCATCCATTTATGAGTATCTCAAAGCAGATGTGGTCAGATATAGTCAGTTTATACCGTTTTATCTGACTATATCTGACCACTTATGGATCCATTAAAAATTGGATATAATCAGATCAAATTGTATCATATCTGACATTTTTTATACACTTAGATGCAATTAGATATATTGGTCTTTTCCCCGGGTTCACAGCAAACACTGTCGCTTCTAATAAATTCTCCAGCCATTCTTTCAAGAGATTGTTTGCGCGATTAGACTTGTGCATAACTCAGATGTTAGATTTCCTGGGGCAGTCTAACGTCCCCGACGATTCCAATCCCGAGGACACGCGGGGTGCATAAAAGTTTCTATTTCGGGCTCTCACGTCCATCAGATCCACCCTTACGTGTCGCGGGCGCAACGCGCTCCAATCGTCAATAGCGCGTGCTCGCATAAACGTATCGCGTATCGCCTACTGTGACAAATCAAAATATATCCCGTCGACGATGTGTC